CGGCTTCCAGTATATTATAACCCAAACGCTCACGCCAGAATGCCTTGAGTATCGAGTACCGACATCAACATGTCTAACGCTCTCCGCGTCCTGAAACGTATTAAAATGCCATTAACATAAATCCCGTAATAGGAGCGCGAACCAAATTGACTAAAGCACACAAACTCATTACAGAAGCGAACATAACAAATATCCGCAAATCAGTCAAAATGATAAACTCACCGTTCAGCAGACGCACAGCACAAAACAAGCACAACGCCTTTCGCTGGCGCTCCGATCAGTTTGACCCGTCTGACGGCGCCGGCTGAACGGCCGAGCGCCGGCCGGCCCTCAGGCTACGTGGCCGCGCTCTCATTGGCTAACCACTAGAGCCGCAGAATACCGACGGTAACAAACACAGTACCTACATATATCACGAACTCAGGCCGTGGTTCACGCACACGCGACACTTCCCACATCCAATTAAGGCCAGTTCCCGGCCAACGAGCCTAAATTGGCCGTCGAGTCGACCGGCCGGCCTCTCTATTGTGACGTCACGCCGTCGACCCGTCGCGTCAGTGAGGGGGGGGTCACGTGACTTATTGACGTGACTGTGACGGTGTGACGTGACGATGTAACGTGACGCGGAGACCTCGAACAGGACACTTGTTTGGTGTTTGGTACACGGCCGTCGCCGTCGCCTGTTTTGTGCGATGTCTCGTCGTCGACAGTGTTACGGGCTATACGCAGCTGGGCCGTATGCTGATAGGGGTATCGAACGCCCACCTGTCCTTAGTAAGCGGCTGTGTGTGTGTGGAGAGGGGGAGGTAAGTAGTAGGTTTCCGTATGGAGTCGAAGATCATTGTACAATTTTTTTACAATGGGGGTCATACTGGCTGAAATAATTGGTAATCGGTATTAGAACATGTTTCAATACAGACGTAAATTACCAAATATAGCATTGCAAACGATCCGAACCACCTCATCGTCTCCCCTCTGCCAATAAGAGGTCATTGTTTCGTAAATTACCCGCAATACTGGGTGGCCATCATAGCATTATTGCTTTATTTTATATAACATTCTTGGTGGAATTATTTTTTAAGCGTCTTGGAAACGTTCAACCAACCAGAGGCCAGATTTGCGCTGCTTCTTTGGTGGAACCAACCACCGTCCGCGCGAAGGATGGCAGCAAATCCTGCGGAAGGCAGGTCGGTGCCTGCTTTGCTACGATTGTAGATGCTAATGGCCAGACATGTGCATGGATCCGAGAGCTGGATCTATGATCTCAGTGGATCTCTCGACAAAATAGAGGGGTTGGATCTATGATCCGAGTGGATCTCTCGACAAAATTCAGGGGTTGGATCTATGATCCGAATGGATCTCTCGACAAAATTTAGGGGTCGGATCTATGATCTCTGTGGATCCAGCGGGCAAAAATTTGTGGAGGACCTATGATCTGTATGGATCTCACGACAACATGTAGCCAATGAAACCCTTATCCTACATAATTGTACACCTTACAGTGCAATACAATTGAGAATTGTCACTTGTGAACATGCCTGGTTAAGACCAGTTGTAATCATTAGGTATCATCATTAAATTTGAATTTAAATCAACAACATTTGTACTACATTTAAAATAAACCAAGAACATGCACATTGCTACTTTTTGTGACCAATTGTAACTTTTCATGACAGCACTGATGACAATCTTATCAACAAGCTACAGCCACTTTAATTCAATGAACAAACAGTACAGACAGATGCAGTGGCAGCGGGGGAACTGCAGATTTTCATTTTGGTCCCATTCTTTCCATGCAACGCCAGTAGGGCTAATGTTAAAATGCCAAAATCTATGGGGGGGCACTGTACCCTGGTGCCACCCTCCCCCCCCCCCCCTGTTCCGCCGCCTATGGACAGATGTTAGGAAGTCAAACCTGGAAGCCAAATAGGTCAGTTTTGTTAAAAATAATCCAGCAATCCACTTCTGCCAGGTATGAAATCCCAATCCAGAATGTTCGTATGAGCTATTAGTATGTGCAACACAATTTCGTTTTAGCATAAGAATAGCAACCAACCTCTAATACTTTCCCAATAAAATTACAAGTTCAAAAATGGCATCAACTTATTCAGATTACCTACTTTTGGCATCGTGCCACATGTGGTGCCATGTTGTGCTTTCGTTATGAGAGAGCCTCCCAAAAAAAGACAAACGAAATTCACAGTCACGTTTTGGAAATATTGTTTTATTACGTCATTATCGTTTGACCAATGAAAAATCTTAATTTGACTAAAACCGTAATGATTCCAAAAGATTTCCCGTAATAGGCCCTTCAAACTAATGACGTAAGATATTGTGATCCTTTTGAAAAGTGAATAAAATAAACATCTTTTATTGTTTATCAATCAATTGTGTTAGCTGGGATTGGAAACTGGAAAGCCTCATGGTTGTCTAATGCAAGATTGTCTTATCAATATCATTATGTAGATTCTAACATGAATTGTGATGTGGTAGGTACCTAGTAATGTATTGTTCATTAGTCATTACTTTGACTTACCTCTATGTTAATTGTTAATGCAAACTTTTCTGTTGGTATGTGAACAATCTTCGTGTCACTCATTAGTCATTTCTCTGAAGTTGTGACCATCATGAGCCTCCTTTATTTTGTATTCTGTATAATGTAACTGGATGTCTTTACTAATATGGCCTTTGTATAAGATTGTTTGTTTCTAACCATACTTTGGTATTCATAACTTCTTATGAAAGAAAGTTGGTAACATTTTGAGCACCTATGAGCTATGATCCCAATGGATCTCACGACAAAATTGGGGAGCCAGATCTATGATCCGAGTGGATCTAGCGACAAAATTGAAGGGTCAGATCTATGATCCCAGTAGATCTCTCGACAAAATTGAGGGGTTGGATCTATGATCTGAATGGATCTCGGATCGGGATCCATGGGATCAGATCTCAGATCCATTTTTCCGGATCCAAGCACATGTCTGCTAATGGCAGCGTGCGCGCGCGCGCCCGTGTGTGTACATATGGATGAATGTATGCGTGTATGTCGCCATGTTTGTAAATTTGGTTCCGCATGTAAATATAACTTCTGAATGATGATAATGGTTTGTTGTCCTAGACGTCACCGAGCCGAAGACGGAATTTCTGGTTAAGTAATAAGCATGCCTTTCGCGGCGTAATTTGGCCGCTTCATTGATCTTTGCTCGAGGAAGAAAATAGGCTCTCAAAGAAGAGACGTTTTTTTGGCCCCATAGAACGAGTGCGAAAATGCAAAAAATCATTACACGTTTGTGTTAATAACAGTTAAACCATCGGCCGCCCGGGGCTGCCGTTTCATTAGTATTGGCTGGCAGTACGATATCTTTTTACTTTTCACTCTCGGGCCGCTCCGCGTGCTGGTCTGGCGGTAAAAAGGTAGACAATATACATGCAGCACATGCAAAAGAGCCATACGCAAGCTGCGAAAATACAAATTTCACAACCCATAGGCATGTATAGCACAAAACATTACCATATTGGCCCCGGCGGGCGGTCCGCAGCATGCGCTGTCTATGGGGAAAACCTGGCCGCTAGGGGCGCTGTAGTCGCCGTGACCGGGTAGACCCCATACGTCGGTGTGATATAACCACATTTTACATTCCATGGGAAAGCACTAGTCGATTTCAGGTTGGGGGAGCGTTGACTCGCGAGCGGCTGAATGAAGTGATTGCAGATTCATGTGGACCTATCTTTGATAATCAGTGATTTATCATAATAGTCACGGAGATTGCTTATCTCTTAAAAAATGTTGACTGTTGGCATTAACCGGCCGCTCAGTTGCGAATAAAGTTTTAGTTAAACATGGAACTATGGAGCTACGGCAAAGTTGTAGGCGCATCCGAGGCGCCGACCGTCAATTAACTGACCGGCGACTATCCGTCAAACTGGTCTATGACTTAGGCCACGAGGATTAATGCGCCATAGCTGTCACTGCGGCATTTCTTACTCTACCGCTGACAACGACGACATCAAATGAAAACATAACTTTTCCGCTCCGTGACCAGTATGGAGATGCATTAACATAAAAATCAAGTGATGTGTATAGTTCTTACGAGAGTTGATGCTTCTTGATTTACATCGAATCGGTATCAACGTAGATTGACTGTTACATCATACGGCTGCACTTGACCATAAAAAACTTCTACAACCATAAGAAGGTAGCTAAATAATGCGTCTTCGCAAACCGGGATTAGCAAAAACTCACATAGAAAGGTAGCCGATGTCATCTTAACAACTGAAATCATCGGAAGGCTGCAACAAAAGGAAATGTATTGGATGGCCAATGAGCTCACTGCTCCATCCTGCAGCTCTATCGGGTATGGTCCCCGATTCCGGCGGCTCTGCCTGTGACAGCTCTGTCATCCAGTGCTCCTCAGCATCGCAGAATGCACTCAGCGGATTCATGTCACGCCCAGCCGACGCAAGATTCCTCCGATTGCAGCGGCATGCGTGGCATTGGTGACTGGTGACGGCTGGTGACGACTGGTGATGGGGGGCCTAATGGACTAGTGGTTGCTGACGGTTGGTGACAACTGACAAGACTAAACCACTGATGACTGCTGATTGCCGCGGTTTCTGAGCCAAGGTGGCTGGTGACAGGACAGTGCGCTGCTGGCTGACACCTGATGACGGGAAGCTACAGGCCGATGACGGCTGGTGTGGTGATAGACGAGCGAGCTGGTGACGATTGGTGACGGTTGGTGACGGACAATCGACTGATCCCATGAATGACGACTGTTGGATGGTTTCTAGTGCAGCCGTCTCATCCCCTTACCCGCCTAGTTTGAGCTTCACCAGTCTGCCTCGATGCGGTGCCACAGCTGTGTGGACCCCTCCCCCCATGCAACACCCTCCCGGCGTATGCACCCCGCCGGGGGCCGGGGCCGGGCGACGGGGTACGCCAGGGCGACGGACGGTTCGGGTGCACGCCGGCCGGCCGGCGGCGTGCCGCGGAGGGCCTCAGTGTTGCCGTGACGCTCAGGCGAGCCAGGTGGGCCGGCCGTGCTGCTCAGAGACCGCACAGAGGTGACTGTGGTGGAGTCCCGGGAGGTCATCGCTGAGGAATACGGAATAAGGAGCAGAGGAGCGGCAGAAACGGTGGGTCTGAGAGACTACGCTACCGACGGAGAGAGGATGCAGACCGCGGCGCGGGGATACGGACCACTAAATAGTGGTATATCGTAGTATATGATAGGAATTAAAAGCGGGGTGGGTTTGACGCATAACGCATGAGTCATGACGGTATTTATTCTAAACTGGAAAGCGGCATGGGTGTACCCAATGTTATGGGGGCTTGGATAGTCGAATCCCTTGAATAAAGCTCCATGATGTCCATATCTAGGTTCGCTGCTGAGTGCTATAGTGCTGACCGATGTTCTTTTTTATACTGTAGAAATTGATTTTAGAGCATATTAGCGTTTTCGTTGTCATTGATCAGATAGGTATGTTCGTAAAGGTTATGATGCCCTTAAACTGCTTTTCATGAAGCTGCACCAGCCCATTTTCCTAACCGCCTACGACTAACCTCAATGCACATCACAATTCACATTTGAAATAGCCATTCTACAATAGCTCCCTGCACACTGCTATTGCAATGGTCATTGAGAGGCTATTTCGATGCTAAGTGGGCACTGGTCCATGATAACCAATCCATTCAGTCGCGCAGTAATGACGAAAAGTGCGCAGTTTGGCGGCAAATGTGGGCACCGGTAATTTTCGATCCGACATTAGACCCTGACACAGAAGGGCTGCACACTTGCGCCGGTGGAGGCCCCGCTGAATAAACAGTGGCCGTGTACAGCCGACTTCATCACTTTGGCCACCACTCTGGTCCATCACTTTGGTCTGTCTATGTGAAGCCGTCATCGCTACAATTAAATACTCAGGTACTGTGACCTTTTCTGTAATGGATCTGATGTCGAATCTGATGCAAAACCCGATCCATAATTTTATTTTAATATGAATACTTTTGTATTTACGGGTAATATCAGCAAATCAAAGACACTATTTTTTTTTTGTACACAGACAAAAAAAAACGACGCAATGTTCACTAATGCAGGTTTGGTGTATAAGCCAAATCTATTGAATAACTTGGTTCAATTATGGCGTTCTGGGGTCTCATGAATAACTGCTCATCAGAAACAGGGCCATTTTACACCAAAGGCCTGTTACAAATATACTCGTATATTCTCATCCCTAGAACTTGAAAATGTGAAAGAGCTTTTAGAACTCAATTTTATACCTGTTCGTCCTCATATCTTTTTTACATTTACATTTTAAATATTAAAAAAATGGCGATTGAAAGTTTCGGAATGTTCGGATGGTGAGAAGTTTTGCTTTATAATTATGCACTTGATTGCTTTTACAATGCAGGTTTATCTAAAATCAATGTTATAAACAAAGTAACTCAATCATTTAACCATTGCCTAGACCTTAAGTTCCTTTGATTATGCAAGATGCATGGCTCAACCCCAGCATTATTGGCCGTATTTATTGTCTGACTTTTGATTTACTAGATTCAATATCCTTCGCTGTTTTGCCCAATACCCATAATTCTATGGCGAAAAGATTGACAAAAACGCCTTCATCAAGGAGCTAAACTTCACTCTAAGTCGTGGTTGGTCAAATATAAAACAGGTTTGCTCGAGCGATGTTCCTGAAGGTTAACAGAGACTTTTGCCAGTTAGCTGTAACTAAGTATATCATAGTGTGCAAAATAGATGGCCATGGTTCACTTGCAGCTCTATCCATGTCCGAACACTGCCGCGTTTTAGTTTAGTCTGTCAACGTACTCAGTCGCACCGGCATGCGACAATGGCGTTGACACAGATCCCTTTTGGCTGTGAGCTGAGTGCGAGGCCATGACAGGACGGATTTTCCTTTGAGCCATGGAGCAACGAGTGGCCTTACAATCGCTCTGACATCGCGTGCAGGTCGCCGTGTCACCTGATAATGTGCTGAGTTGTAAATGTGTAATTAAGTGATAGGGAAATGTCCTCAATTACACTCAATAGCGTACATTTTCCGTAAACCTCCTCAACGTGTTCATGACTATACATTTACCTGGCACTTGACCCCTTGTCCATGACATTTGTAGCATATTACCTCAAAGGCAGGGGATACCTTTGTCCTTTTCTGGTCACTAGCCATTTAATAAACCCTTTTTTATCAAGTCATGTCTTTCATCCTCATATATGCAATATACAGTTCAAGTCAAAATAATAGATAGCGTTGACCCTCACTTTTCTCTCAAGGCCGACGAAACTAGGAACAACTGACGCTGTTTCCGCTCAGTTCCGCAGCGTGCAATGCAATTTTGATGAGGCCAGCCTCACCGGCCAACCGACGCAACACCCCGATACAATAATAAACCGATCCAACTTCCCCATCCCGTGTTCACCATCAATATCCATGGGACATTAAAGGGACTATCCCACCTTTACATTAGGTTAGAGTTGAGATAGCCAAGTTTGCGGCGAGGTCCAGAAACCACTATCTATCTTGGTTGCAACCCCCGCGGCCTCGTGGTGTTGAAGAAATTCGTTCCCTTCATTTGAAAATGAGCCCTGCGCAAGGCCCAATCTCTTAACCATTAACGGTAATCTGATGACGTCATTTGCCTTTTGAACGCCTGTTCAAGTGAAGTATCACTTGATTTACGAATAAGCCAATCAGAGACACTTTTGTTTTTGTATGAGCCGAGTCATATTTGAGAGCAAATACCTATATTTGCTGCCAAATTTCCCCCACACTGACGTGAAGTAAATCCTTCATTACGTCACAGATCCGATCTAAATGACGTCACGATGAAATATAAAAGTCGCAATATCTCAAAAAGTATACGATGAAAACGCGTAAAAACTTGCAGAATTCGTCACAATATCATGAGTAACATTTCCGAATCCTAAACGGGACTTTTTGAAGGTGGGATAGTCCCTTTAAATCACCAACCTGACAGACCAACACCTGGCGAATGTCACGTCTTATCCACTCAAAAAATGACAGCCGGGTCCGGTACTTGTCCACCACTATTAACCCGCGCCGGGCCGGGGGGGTGTTTGAACACCCCCCCTGTGGTTTTTCGCAGATATCTCAAAAACGGCGGCGCGGAGCGCCGCCGTTTTTGGCACACCTGTTTGTACATCTTTTCCGCACATGTTGTGAAAATTTCAGACCCAGGTCGCCTTAGGTCAGGTCACCAGGTCACGCCAAGTGACCTCACCTCAGAAAAAATAAGAATGCTCGTCATAGCTACACCGATTGATCGATTGCCTTGAAACTTTCAGCGATTGATAAGAGCAACAGTATCTATAAAATGTTTATCTCGGAATTTTGATATCGGTGACCTAAGGTCAGGTCAATTTTGCGGCCTCTCCATTATAAGTCAATGGGATAAAATTGAAAAGCGTCTGTTTTGCACGAACGCCATTCTAGACACTCTCAAACATCGAGATATAGATAAAATTGACACACTGAACCAGAAAATGGCAACTGTGACCCCTCGTTATGTCCCCGAGGTCATCTCAGGTCACGAACAGAATCTAACAGTTTTTCGCTAATAACTTCTGATAGAGGCGTCCTAGAGCGCTGAAAACGCCTTAGATGTGTTCGGCTCGACGTTGCAGATCGACTGATATGCAACATGACCTTTTCCGGTCAGGTCATGACCTTGACCTGAGGTCAAATTTTCAAGTTGACCTTTCAAGGTCAACTTATAGTTCATTCGACGCGTCTCGACGAGAGGAACACGATGCTGGCAAAAGTAATGTCATGGCTCTTTTGAGTCAAAAGTTATCGCCGATAAACCGATTTTCGTAAAAACGGCTATTTTTGGAGTTTTTGTCCTCTGGAGGCTAAACCGTTGACCTGATGTCAAATCTGAGAACATTACTCAGAAAGGCCTGTAAAAGGGCTATCGAATGCGCTTTTCCGCGGCGCTGTAGCTCTATCGGTTCCCGAGATAGCCGTTGGCAGTTTCCAAAATGTTGAAATAGTCAACATTTTACCTTTGGTGACCTCTGGTGACCTGACCTTTGACCTGACCCAAAAAATGACCGAAGTGTTTTCGTCCTTATTTTGGACGTTCTTTCTATTGCCGCTTACCGCGTGTCGCTACGTGGCCCAGGAGCCGAGTTAGAAGGGGGGTGTTCAGACACCCCCCCCCCGGCCCGGCGCGGAATCTCAGAGCACCGGCCCGGCGCGGGTTAATGACAACACGGACTACTTTATAACCCGGCAAGGTCGGAGTGTTTGACAAAATTTGACAAAATACGGGTCCAGGACATTCGGGTAAAAAAATGACAGCGTGTTCCAAAAGATATCACACCGCTATTAATGACGACACGGACTACCTTATTAGACCCGCGGCCGTTCTAGCAAGGTCGGCCTGTTTGACAAAATCTAGCGGCGTATCGGTGGGTCACTCCACATTTTTCGTCCCCGTAAGGCGGCGCCGACCACGTGACCTGCCACGAGTAGCCACGTGGCAAACAGCTCGCCACGTGTCAATGTCACTGTGGAGGTGTATCGCATATCAGATCTCACAGGAGTCGGCGGACACTTGTCTAGGAATCGTCCAATCGTGAGGGTATGCTAATTAACGTGGTTCTCCTATCGCCGGAACGTAGAGACATTTCCGTCCGCTTAGCGATAGGAAAACTGTAGAATGGCATATAAAATGTGTCTCCGGCAAATGAATACGCGCTGCACCGTCAAAAAGGCTGATCATTTCCGTTTAGGCAGCTCGTTTGGATGTTGGATGACCTGACCAATGTATGATGTAACGGTGCATGAGCGCGCCAGAAATGAACGGCTCAGTATTGAGATTCAGCCGACAAGTTGGACAAGTTGGGACTGGGATAAAAGTAACTATAGTAGTTTGTTGTTCACTTTATCTGCATACATTACCTGTGAAGAAATTCAGGCTGTCATTTATATTGATGGATCTTCCAAATCAAATATTTTTATAACATAACCTAGCGCAAAATATGCTACTAATATCAAATATATGTAAAGAAAATAATTTTCCGGCGCATTGATTCATGTGATTAATTCATTTCAAATGACGGCTTATTCTAACAGGCTACCGACAGTGCCGA